CATCCACGGGTCCCAGACAAGCACCGGCCAGGGCGAATTGTCCTCCTCCTCCCTAACTGGGACCAGGGATCAGCAATGGCCCCTGTGACCCTGTGGGAGGATCTTGGGGGGCAGAAAACACACTTTAATGCTCAAACTTTAAAGCCAACCAAGATATTTCCATGGGAACTGTGTGCCAGAAACATGTTCAACCCTGGTCCGCCTGGTGGGAAGGGTCCCCCAGCAGACCCCAGTTTAAGTGTGTGGCGGGAGGTTATTTTGGAGGAAAATCCTCTTTTTCTCCATTTTCTACCACACCTTGCCACAGCCACAAAATCCAGGCAGCTTCAGGGATATTTAAAAAAAAATCAAATCAAATAAATCATCTCTTTTTCATGCCAGCATGCTGGAAGGCTCTGTTGGGTTGGCTCAGACTGGATTGGAAGTCACTGTAGGGGCTACCCTGAGTGCATGTTGGTGTGTGCATGTGTGTTGGTGTGTGCACGAGTGTATGTGTGTCTGGCTTTGCTCACCCTCCTCCAGTCCCCCCTGGCCCTTTGTCCTGCAGACACATGCAGACTTCATGGGAGGCTGCAGGATCTGGTCCCCCAGCCTGTGCCCACACACCCCTGCCTCTTTCCCCTCCTCTGGCACAGGGTGTCTGTACAACTGAGGGGTGTGTCCTCCTCCTGCCTCTGCCCCAAGCCTCCCGGCTGGTGTGTGCCCATCCTGGCGATGGCAGTGGGGTGGAGGTGGCGGGCAGCGAGGACACCGGGGGCACGGGAGGCGAGGCGGGCTTGTTCCCTGCTGCTGCCAGAGCTGGTTAAACATTGTCCCAGGCCAGTTAGGTAACACAAACCGCAGCGGGAATGAAATGAAACTGCTTGAGCAAACAAGGTGCGCTTGGCAGGGCAGCAGGCTGCGTGACAGAGTGCTCCCCTCTCCCTGCCAACCTGCCAGGGTTATCTATTGATGGAGAATAAACACCTCGCCCACAACCCCAAACTCCGAGGGACAGCAGCCAGGAGCACGGACAGCTCCTGCGAGACCTGGCCTGGTGCTGGGCTTGCCCTGCTCACCGTGTCCCCTCCTGGGACATGCTGGGTGCCACCAAGCACCATCCATTGTGTGGGGACCCCAAGCATCTCGGCATTGTCCCTCCAGCCTGCTCCTTGCGGCAGCTCCTGGAGGGCAGGAATGGGCCTGGAGCACCCTCCACTCGCTGGAGCCAGCGGACGCCAGCTGGGAAAACCTGTTCCCAGGGAAGGTTACACAAGGAACGTGATGGAGGTCTGGCTGCAGCCCAGACTGTGGACTGGCCCCTGGTTCACACCCAGGGACTGGGACCTCTTGCACCACAGGGCAACCCTGATGGCCTCATCTTGGCATGTGGGTCTGGGAGCAGTACAACTTCAGCCCAGCACACCAGGTGGTGAGGGATGGATGTCTTCCATATGATTTTGTCATCACTGGGATTTTGCGTAACTGCAGACCCCCTCTCATGTCTTGCTGAATTGCAAGTGTGGGCATGGCACAACATGGCATGGCACGGCATGGCATGGCCACAGGAGACCAGGCATCCCAACTGGACCAGCAAGGCAACTCCACACGTAAATGGTAGTTGAACCCACCCAAAAGAGGTTGGACCTGGCCCATGGGTACCTCCTGCCCCTGGCAAAGCAGGTGGGCCATGCACCTGATGCCACTGCAGCATCTCCGGGAGGTCCTTCAGCTGCCAGTGAGCCCACAGCCTGGAGGCTGTCAGCAGAGAAGTGGCCCAGGGCCATGGGCACCAGGAGTTTGAAAGTGAACTGGGAGACTTGCAGCAGAGTCTGTGGTTCCGCCAGTGCTTGGACCAATCTCTCGTTATGCACATCCTGGTGAAGCAGGGGGCTGGGCTTCCACCAGCAGCACAGTGGCTCAGCAGCGGGGATGCTCTAAGCCACCAGCCTCCCCCTCAAGCGGAGGCTGGGCAGACTGGGGGCAGTTCCAGCTGCTGCAGCCAGGACGGCCCAGGGGAGACAGCATAGATGGCTCATGTGGGACGTTGCTTTAAAGGATTTATTCCTCTCTCTTTTGCATTGGGTCACACTTTTGCAAGTGTGGGATGGGTGATTTTTAACTGTACCGTGTCTCTGGCAGTAATGAAGGGCAGTCAGGGAACAATGGCTAGGTCCTCCTGCATCTCAGGCTTTGCAAGGCACCCTTACTGCCTAGGGGCACCCCAAAAACTCCCCTCACCCCGCCACTGGCAGGCTGGCTCCCCTCCTTAGTCACTCCAGGTACTGGCTGAAACCATTCAGAAGGATGTGGCATTGCTTTTGCCTGGGCATCCCTGACCTGGTCAAGCTCTAAACTCAGAGGAGGGGTCCCAGGGCCTTTCCCCTTGAGGATCTCAGGATCTGAGCAGCGCTATCCCCTGCACACCCACATTCAGCCTGGTCCTGCACACTACCGGGAAGTTAGAGTGGCAACAAGTCCTCCTAGTGCCCAGAAGTGTTCAGAAAGACTGGTCATGAAATGTGGGTAACACATGCCAACCAGGAGCGATGCATGGGCCACTGTTTGCCAAGCTCATTTGAGAGGCTGCTTGGCCTCCAAGCCCATGAATTCCTTCTTGCTCCCGCACAGACATATCCTGTGGGTCAGAGAGATCCTCCCAGCACCCCTGGGGCACCCTCCTTGCCTCTTCATGGCTGGGCTAGCTGGGGAAGCCTGGTGTTGCCGTTGAGCAAGAAGGGGCGGATGGTGTGTCTGCACTGCCAGACCTTAGCCATCCTCCCTCCTGAAGATGTGGTCCTTGAGAGGCACCCAGGTCCTAGGAGACCTAGATAGCCAGACTGGAAGATGAGTGGGACTTAAATATTGCAGTGCCTGTGCTGCTCCTTTATGTCCCTTCAGAAGAGAGCACTGGACAGAGAGAGGCTGGAGGTCCTCCTGCAGCCTGTGACCCCCAGCCAGGCTGGGGACCTAAATGCAGAGGGAGCTGAGGGAGACCCCCCCTACACCAGACTGGACTCTGGAACCAGGAATTTGCTCCTGGCTTGGAGATGCTGCTCTGGTAAAGCCCTCCTGCAAAGGCCAGTGCCAGGGCTGAGTTTCTGGAGGGTCCTCGGAAGGGCCAGGGTTTGGGAGTGGGTGTAAGATGCCCCTGCGTGGCTGGCTTTGAGACAAAGCCTCCAGATCTCACTCCCACCAGCCCAGGAACAGGCAGCCCACCTCATCCTCAGGAAGACCCTGTGCCAGGATGACCAGGCAAATCCAGGCCACAGCAGACAGGAGGGATGGTGAAGGACGGGGTTCATGCAATGGGACATCCCAGGTGACATGAGTCTAGTCCCCACCATGTCTTTAAGAAAAACAAGCAAAATGACAGGGAGGTACAAAAACAACGCAACCAAACAACAATTTATTCCTCTTATGTTCCCATTTGAAAAGGAGGAAACCACATGCACCTGGTGGGTGCCTGGCTGGGCTGGCATACCCCTCCAGTGGTGGACACAGAGCCAGTCTGTGCCCCCGTGACATCGCTTCAGTCCAGCTGAGCATCCCCCCCTGCCACGAGACACGTGTGTGCCCTACAGCGCACACTCTCACACGGGAACATCGTCCTCATGAAAAAATATATCTGTACATTCATTCTGTGCTTTTTTTTTTTTTTTGGTCTTACATAAATTAGAATCTTCTTTTGGGGAAAAGGCCTGTTTCCAGACACAGGCAGCCAGGCTGGAAATGCAGAGCAGCCCTGCTGTCCCCAGTCCTCTCCCCCCAGGACTCTCCAGGGCGAGGTGAAGCTCCACAATGTTCCCATCTTCTCTCAGCAGGTGCCACACTGAGAAGCTGCTGCACGGGGGGGCCCTCACCCATCCCATGCAGAGTAAACGGGGACCTTCGGCACGGCGCACACAGTGATGGGGGAGGACCCCGTCGCTGGGACAGGGTCTGTCCGATCACAGGTGAGACGGTGGAGCTGTCCCTCTGCTCAGGCACGAGGTGGGTGACAGCAGGAGACCTGCTGGGCTCTCACGGCGGTCCCAGCTGCCGCTCAGACTTCTTTTCCCCTTTGCGTTTGTCCAGGCTTTCAAACAGCCAAAGTCACTGCAACTCCAGTCGGAGGTACAAATCCAGTGAGGGACATAATGGTTTACAATAACCTACTGGAGCCAAAATATTAGCTTTAAACACCTCAGTGCCAGCAGTCACCAGCACGCACGAACATGCCCATGCAAGGGTCAGAGTTTCACACGCTGCACAGGGCAGCAGCTTCCAGATACAGCTGCAGGCAAAATTTTCTGCTGATGATCCCAGCTTGGGGCCCCCAAGGGGCTTGTCAGACCCCAGCTCATCCAGGACTCCTACAGCTCCTTGTTCCTGTTGAGCACCTCCTCCTCCTTCCAGCCGCTGGAGTTCTTCCCAAACTTGTACACCAGCCGTCGCCCATCGACTCTCTCCAGGATCTCCCGTTTGTAGTAATATCTGGAGGAGATGGAGCAATCAGGGCTTGGGATGCAGCCCCACATGCTCGGAAGCTGATGTGGGGGATGAAGGACGGGTCTTGGTGTGTCTGACCCAGCCCTATGGGGCAGGTCCCCCCCGGGGACAGGGGAGGGCGCTCACCGCATGGCTCGGCTCAGCTTCTCGTAGGTCATGCTGCTGTTTTTCTTCTTCTGGCCCCAGAGCTGAGCCACTGCCTCCGAGCGCAGGAACTTGAAGACACCTTCCCGGCGGTCCTCCCACTTCATCAGCCCCTCGTTCAGCTCGGGGTGGATCAGGATGTCCCGGATGAACTCCCACAGGTGGGTACCTCTTGGGGCTGGAAGAAGAGAGCAAGCTGTAGAGGAGGGAAGATTCTGTGTGTCCCTGCACTTTAGATCTCCCTAAACCCCTCGTGTCAAGAGGCATGGCCAGCGCACATGGCCCTTCCTCCCACCTCCCGCCATGGAGCCAAGCTGGGGGAGGCAGTCCCAAACCCAAGGGTGGAGGGTCCACGTACAGTGCTTGTTCTTCCGGCTCTCCAGGCAGTCTCTGCTCTCCTTACTGAGCTTTCGGGGCCGCCCCCGTTTCCGCTTGCCGTGTTTGCTGTCCCCTTTCTTGCTCCCTGCAAAGCCATCTGTGCAGACAGACACGGGGACACGTTATGCTGTGCAGAGCCTGCTGGGTTGCAGCACCCCCCCATCCCTGGGCACAGAGATGTCCTCCTCAGGAGCAGAAGCACAGGAGGGAGCTGGTTGGGGCACCCTCTTTTCAGGCCCAGCTACCAGGGGACCATCCTCCTGAGACCAAGATGTCCCCATTCCCTCCAGCCTTGTCCCACCCTCATCCGTGCTGCTGTGGTTAGGGCAGTGTGCTGCTCGTTCCCCAAACCTTGCTGCTTCCCTGCATCCTCACTGTCCCCATATCATCGCCAGCTGGGATCAATACTGAACACAGCTTTCACTGCCCAGGATCTCTGGCTGCAGCCCTCACCCAGCTGCCACCACCGACCCCTTCCCACCAAACTGCCTGCTGCCCTGGCTGCCCCAGCTCTGCCCCAGAGCCTGCACCGTCACTGTGCTCAACAGAGAGAAACAGACCCATGGCACACAGAAAGCCAGCCCCCTCCCTCCTTCCCAGATGGATGTTCAGACATTGTCCCTAAGTCATCACCAGAAGGGATGTGCTCTGCAGCTGCTGGGAGTGCCCAGGAGCAAGCCCTCCTCTCACAGCTCCCAGCGGGAAGCAAACAACTCACCATCAGGGAAGAGCTTTGCTTCTGCAAGGTCGAGGTCAAGGTCACTTCCACCGGAGTCCTGGGAGTTGGGGCTGTGGGACATCACAGGCCCTGAGAGGCAAAGGGACAGGGCTCAGACCACCAGCTGCTGGCATCTGAAGATGCTTTCCCCTGGCTCCCTCACCCCAGGACCCTGCAGGCAGCCCAGTGCAAGACCCAAACCTGCCCTTGGCGGTGGGGCAATTTCCCACTGATCTCCCAGATCAGCACAAGCAAAGGCAGCTTTTCGCAGGGCAAAATACTGACCTGAGACATCAGAGCTGCCTGGGGACATGGCACCAGGCAAGCAGGTGAAGTCTGTGGATAGGAAAGGGTTTGTGGGCTTCATGTCTTCCAGGGAGTCATTGGCACAGGGATTTCCCAGCTCTGGGAGAGGCAGAGAAGTGAAGAAGGGGTTACTTCTGCCTGCACCAGCATGTGGTCCCTGGGGAAAAGGCTTGACCAGGGCCCCTTTCTTACCCAGGTGGCTGGAGTCCAGGAAGGTCTCTTGGGAAGTTGCATCCTCTTTTTCCAGCAAGTCAATGATCCAGTTCAGCTCATCGGAGGCTGCAGGGGTGGGGGGACTGGGATTAGCGATGCTTATTTGGTATGGAGGGGAATGTTGCACACTGCGAGCTGCACCCTGCCCTGCCTGGACTCTGGTCTGTGCCCCCAAATCCCTCTCCGCAGCCTCCCCAGTGCAGCCTCCCCCAGGCAGCCCTCCGCAGTGCCTGGGAAGCATGGGGTCCTGGGCTGGTGGGGGACATCTCAGCCTCATGCTTTGAGCTGCCAGACCTGGGGACAAAGGGGACATTGGGACACTCACTGATCTCGTGCAAGCGGTCATAGAGCTCGTCCCCCAGGGGCCCGAAGATGAGGCGCATCTGGTCCCTGGTGCAGTGGCAGAGCATGTGCCCGTCCATGTTGCAGCAGGAGAAGTCGATGGAGCTGGCATCGTATTTGTTCTTCTCCACGTGGTAGCTGATCCATTCCAGCACCTGCACCTTGGTCCAGAAGTACGGGAGCTCACTGAACCACTCTGGCTTGTCTGTAAGGGATGGAGAGCGGGGCTCAGGAGCAGGGCAGCCGTGCCAGCGCCACGTGCCATGCATGGGCTGCCACCTGCAGCTGCTCACTGGGTCCGGTCCTGTGGCGATCCCGCAGGGCACAGCGGGCTCTGCGCTTGCAGGGTTATGGGACTAACAGGTGCTTTTCGAGTCACCGGCCTCGCTCAGCCCTGCTCCTGTCCTGGGGGACAGCAACGACCTGACACCCTCCACACTGTGGTTCTTGGTGCCATTTGTCCCGCCCGTGCAAGGATCCCCCCTGCTCTGCTGGTGTGGTCCCCATGCCTCCCCTAGGGCCATCCCATGATGGTCCCACGGGTGGACAGGGACCCCTGGCACCAGGACCATACTTCCAAACTGCTCTCCTGGTTAGCTCCGT